TCTTGAGGAAGTGAAATGATTAAAAGTGTATTTAACCAATATGGTAGCATAGACAGTTTTTGAATGCACAGTATTTCTCAAAAGAGTAAAAATTCTGTTTATTCAGTATAACTAAATACACTGAGAAGTGTTTTGTCAGAGAAACTGTTTCAAGCTATTTATTTCAAGTGTGAAAGAGCTTTCTCTGAGTGAATACACCTTCTCTTGGAGTATGCCTTTTTTGAATTTCAATAACAGCTGAACTGTGTTGGCAGCACATTTTCACCGGTTTTACCTGTTTATCCAAATGCAGATTATAAAATTGTGGTAAATAGAACTTTGTTTAAGATAAATTAAGTACATTTAGCCATATGTGCTGAAATTATCTATAAGCAGAGCCTATCCCACCTGATGCCTCAAAGATATCCTTGGCAGGCTTTACAGCCACATGCTAGAGTTTCTTAACTTGAGTTTCAGTTTGAAGTCTGGCAGTCCAAAACTGTTGAGTCCAGTATGTTCATAGAAAAGTCAGCCAGGGAAATTAAATTTACATAAACAAATTATTCTGTCAACCTCTGCCAGCACCTGTCTTGCCCAGTCTTATAAATTATCCAAACTTCTAGTTCTGCTTTCAGATGTTTCCAGGTATTTGCTGATTCTTGTCTTCTGGCTATCTCTAAAAATACACCTACTGGCAAATCACATGCCCACTTCTGTCTGCTTTAATAAGACGATAAAAATGCTAAAATTACACATTTTCAAAATTTCTGTTCTGTGGAAACCTGTAGTGTCCTTGCTGATGAGCAGTACCCCATTTTTCATGATTATTGCTATGGCATGTATTAGAAAATAGAGCAAGAAAATAAGAAGCCTACAGGATTGCATGAGCAGAAGAGAGAGCATGGTATGTTATGTTCACAGTTATGTTTCAGAGTGGAGTATTTAGACATTAAAGTCAATGACACAGGGAGATCTTATTTCAAGCCACAGATCCTTTATCCTTAATATTGGCCAGATGTGTTACATTATTGAAAGGTTTACTGCTAACAAGCAGAAGGATTTAGTCTACCAGGTGGTTTTAATATGAAGCAACAAAGATCTTGAATTAGATCTTGCAATCAAAGTGCTACTATTCTTGGTGATATAGAAATAAGGTGAGTGAAGACTGAACACCAGTGAGCAGCTGTGACTGTTGCTGATTGCTTATGGCTTTTCACACTATGATTTGTTAAATTGTCATACATGTTTCTACAGATAGCTGTGGATGCTCTAAGCTTCCATGTGGGAAGGAGCTGTGGAAGGAGTCAAAAAGAGTGAAAGTCCATCAAGTGCTATTAATCACAAAATTGTCATCTTTGGTTTGGGAGATCCCTGAACCGCAAATAATGAGTGACTAGTAGAGTGTATCAGAGAGGTGTTACTGCATGTTCCCTTTGGTTTTATTGCCATAGACTAGACTGGACTACACTAGAGGATTTGGAAGGAACCTACAGCCCTCATCTAGTCCAGCTGCCTGACCACTTCAGGACTGAAGTCTTATCTGTTAATTTTCCAGTCACTCCAGTGGAGATACAGGGTACAGGCTTAGATGAACCCTGATCTAGCCTTTCGTGGTCATCCTTATGATTTTATGTTGTTTGCATTATGGCGAGTTGAACTTAGGAGAGAAATATTAGAGAATGGACAGGTTTTATCTCAATTGAATTTAGATGCTGACTTTGTACTTCGCAAACATCTAAACAGAAGACAGTTTTTTATATTCCCTTTATAATCGTGTAGAGAAATAAACAACCAAGTGAAGCTTACGGTACAATGTTTCTGTGAAGGACCTTCATTGCGCCAGGTTCAGTGATTCATTTCTAAACAGATTTTTACATTGTAGTCATATAAGTCTGGTGAAATCAATTCTACTTATGTAATTCAGTGAATGCTAATCTAGCAGTATTATTACAGAAGTGGTAATCTCATTTCTCTGTAGAATTTGAGAAGTAATAAGGTAAAAAAAAAAGAAGAAAAGATAGTGAAGAATCCTGATTTTTCACAATACCATGACTACAGGATAGAGTGGTGATATTCTATAATCACTCTCAGGTGAAAAGGCCTGTGCCAATCTAGGATGGACATGTATACACAGTAACACCCAGCTGAATTAATTTCTTGTCATATACCTTGAATATTTTTTTTGAAATCTTATGGGTGCATAGTACTGACATTACCATATGTATTTTTATATATGTATATACACACACACATGTATATTTTTAAAAACAAATTCCTGGGACTGTGCTGCATGAAACAAACATTCCAGCTTTGCCATAATTTTATTATTGTCAAGATTTTAATTGTGGCATAGCAGGGCAAATTATTGGCTTGCTGAAGAATTTGAGAAAAATGTAAATATGAATAGTCTCACTATTATGCTGCAAGTCATTAATATTAAAATGAAAAACACAATTTGACATACCACTCAGTACCAAATCTGCAGAATATAATTTTCTTGGTCTTGTTATCAAAATGATTAATGCAAATGTATTCCAGAAATCACTAAGGCTGAAACATCACTCATTCTCAAGAAGAGGATCTTTGTTGATGTGTTGATTTTACAGATTTTGTTGCACTGTGAAATCTGTGTTTGCTACAGTCAGTTTCTTTCACAAATGTGTGTTTAGTCTCTTTACTGAGGTCATGCCACTGACACTTTGATGTTACACCAGAAGTCACCAGGATGGGATAGTGCTGGCCCACCAGCAGTGCAGTACTGCCCAAACTAAGATGGCTGCTTGCTACTCCGGCCACTTCTATTCTAGCCTTTAAAGTGTGTGAACTATTGAATACAGCCGTGACTGTTTAAAGTTTAGAGTTCTTTCTGGTTTTTATGGTTTGGTTTTTTTTAAGATTGATTGAGTCTGATCGAAAGATTATTCCTGTCATTAGAACTACAGACATCCTTCTCTGGTAACACAGTGTAATTTGCAAGATCTGCTTTTATGTACCATCTGAAAGTTAAGATTAATTAGCCAGCCTAGAATGTTTAAAGCTTTGTCTATAGCACTGATGTCTAGACTTTCCTGAGTGTCTTGGGAAAGTCCTGAAAGCCTGAACATTTCATTTATAACCTTTGTTCAATGAAGTGATTATGTGTCTACTTATGTCCTTTTGTATTCAGCTGCCAGCCTTTGTTCAGCTTTAAATATCTTGCCTATTTTGTACCCACAACTTGATCTATGTCCTTCTGAGTTGGTGGACATTTTATGAAAGCTGGATATGTTCCTTCCTGCAGCTAAACATAGTCTTCTAAGATGTGTTTTTGCAACGAAATTCAGACAAATAAAAAAGGTTATCTCTGTCTTGGACTGAAGAAAGTCCTGATTGGAATATTCCATTGTACTGAAGATAGTAATAGATATCACAAAGACGGCAGTTTTAAATCGATGCAGCTTGCTACTTGTTTGTCCTTTGTTTAACACTTTGATAACTGATCTCTGAGATACTGCCTGGCTTTTGAGGGTTTTATAGAAATCTGGGGAGGACAAATTTGGCCTATAGAGACTTAACATTACATCATTCCTTTCTAAGTCATTCCTAGATTGATGATGCTGAAAAAATCTAACCTTAAAATCCATTTTAAGCATGTATTGCTGTTTCAATGAAAAAGTACTTCCAAATGTCTGCTTTGAGGATATTTCCCCTAATTTTAATGTGAGGAATTTTAGTAGTATTATTTTCAGACAGTTGCAACTTTTCAAGATAATATTTTTCAGGTTGTGTAAGCTATTTGAACTTTTTTTAACACCAGAGTTCTCAGAAATCTGGGACTCAGTACAACTCTTTCAATTTTAGACTCATTTATGCACATGATTAAGATGTATTTTTGTACGTATGTATTGAGCTGTTTTGTATTTATATGACCAATACTTTTTGTGGAGATTTATAAATTTTTGAGTCATTGGAAAGATAAACAAAAGACAGCAGCGATCTCAGGTTTGGAAAGATGATGAACACAGTTCATCATAAGCAGACTTCTACAATGTATTAATCTTCTCTGTAAGCTGTGCCAGTTCCCATAAGAGCACAGATCTCCTTTGCATGGCAAGTTGACCTATACAGAAAGAAGGCTGATCTGCCATGTAAAAGTACGACAGATCTTTGACAGAACAGTACTTTCTTTATCATTTAAAGAGTTTTGTTTTAGCTATTATTAATGCTGCAAAAATGTGAAAATGTTTGTAAAAAGTTAAATACTTGCTTATTCCGTTCTTCATCTCTAAATACTGGATGAACTGGTACTATTGTTATAAGAGCTAAAGAGGTACAACAACAACATCTTTATCAACACCCACCTAATATGTCACATACTCATCTCTCAACTTTGACATTCTTCATTCCTCAACAATGCAACTTCCGTATGACACTCACTTAAAGCAATAGCATATCCCACAGAGAAAAGCCATTTTAAATGTCAACAAGCTGAGAGAAATTTACCAGGACACTGGACTTAACACCTATAACTGGCTGTAATGTTAACTGTTCTATTTCGTATTACACAAGATGACTGAAAATCTTCACTGCTGTAAAGTTGTCTTCAGAGTGTAGTTCTTATCGGACTGATATAGTGATGTTACAGCTATGGCTATCAACTTTCACTTTTAGCAGGCACTGGAGAAAAATGGCTTGCAGATATGGTTCAGTCTAAAAGTGCTTGTAATCAGTCCAGAAATTTTAAGTTTGGCCCCTTATCCAGGTGATGCTGAGAAAGTTACATCATCTCATACAGCAAGCTATACATTCTGCTGGAGGCTATCTGCACCAAACACAGAGTTCACATGGATAGCTTATTTCTACCACAGGGAACTAGTTCTGACACATCTGTAATGTGTAGATGTGACACGAATGTGGTTATGCAAACAGCAAAAGGTCGTGCTCTAAAAATGCTAGGATAGGCTGTTCAGTATTTCCAAGACAGCAACTGAACACATATAAATGCCTCAAAGCATAGTAAGAGACCTATATTTGGTTTCCAGGATCAGTGGTTTTGGCGAGTCAGAAACAACAGGGTGATGGATGGATACCCCATGCAGATTACCTACTTCTGGAGGGGACTGCCTCCCAGCATTGATGCAGTTTATGAAAACAGTGAGGGGAATTTTGTCTTCTTTAAAGGTAAGAAAAGAAGAAAAGTAAGATACTGTGTAATGCTTTCGGCTATGATGATTTCTTGGAACATATCTTGCTTATTTTTACTAATGATTTGTAAATCATGTTGCGAACTGGTAGCTAAATGTATAAGAGTATATGACTTATGTTTTCTAATTTTGGCAACTACAGCTTCAATTTATGATTAACCTTCAGATCATTTACATATTCTGTAAAAATTTAGAAGTATAAATAAAAGACATAGCAATGCTGTGATCTACTGTGAAATCCTTTTTGAATAATTGCATTAGGAATTAAGAATGAAAGCATAATTTTAATTGTGGTTCGTTTCACTCTTCTTCCTTTTATACAAATGAAATTTGCATGTATTTAAATGACATCTGTGCTACATATATCTCACTGTACTGCGCTGTACTTCCTTCACCTGAAAACTGTGATGTCAGGAGTTTCAGGTGGGAAAATTAAATATCTTTTGATAAATGTGTATTTATTATTTTTAAAGAAGCATAAACTCTAGAAAATATGTTGTATGGACTGAATTGTTGCTAATAATTCTTTTCAAATTTTCACTCCAGGCATCAGCTCTTCTTCAAATTTAAAGTTCTTGAACATATGTCTGATTTGGTTTCAATGAGAAAATTATCCTATATGTTAAGTAAATACATGTTTAGCAAAAAAGGAGTGAAAACCGTGTTAGGTATGTTTTATAAGATAATACTTTGGGAGACGAAAGAAGAGACTTAAAAGATATGTGAAAAATTATTCAGCTATTTAGTGTTGTGAGTGATTAACTTGTTAAGTCATTACGAAAAAGTAGATTTTTTTAAAGTTGTTATGTAAAAAAATTAATTTATCTTTACAAGTGGAATCATTACCAAGGAAATAGAAATAGTATTTCATTCACTATGGAAACTTTGTCATCTTGGGAATCCTAAATGGGAAATGTTTAATAACACGCAGAAATAGTACATAACAGTGCAATGAAGATGAAGTTATGTTTTACTAATACAGAAATTGTATTTTTGTGTGAATCGTAAGGAAAATTGCATTCCATATAGCAAATTTTTCGTTTACATGACTTCAATAAATCATATGCATTTACCTCTGTTGCCATAAAATAAACTCCATGTCATAAACTCTGGGAGTTTCATAAAATCTGGAATTATGATCAAGATACCTCCAAATCTCCATCCTTCTGCTTGATTTTGGGTCCATTGAACAGACATGGGAGAATTCAAATATATTCTGTAGATATTCCTTTGCTCATCACTGCTACACAGAGAAAAGGAACTACTCTGTGCATTCCAGACCTCTGCCTCGATAATGCTGGGATCTATTACCTGAGCTTCAGATAGGAATGATTAAGCTTAGTCTTTTCCTTCCCAGTGACCTCAAAATATATTTTATCATTATTTAACTCTTCACCCCTTGCTCTCTAACTCTAGTTATATCTTAGAGGGATGTGTTGGTTCAGTAGTCTCTAGGTTATAGATAACAAAAAACAGTTTATAAAATAGTCTCCAAAACTTCTTCTAAAGATATTTATAACATCCAACGTCCCCTAAGGTATAGAGTCTTGAATCTCTGGTGTGTGCTGGAGAAACGAATCAGTGTGTAAATAGCCTCCCTTCAGAATAGCTACTGTATCTTCTGCAGATGCTCAAATAAAGGTTCCAGGCACACCTTCCACCTCCTGTGCCCTCTTTCACTCACATTGGAGGCTTTTTTACTAGTGTGAAGCAGTGTCTCTTGTGACTGACTGGTTTTTCACTCCTGCTTTCATACTTGTGGAACAATATCTCTACTCTCTGAAGGTGAAGAAAGGAGTAAGCCAATTTACACACCTGTGATTGCTAGTGAGTAATTGCCACCTTGCTTCACCTTAACTGCCTATGCTGTCATAGGTTCAGGATAAACAATATTCTCTTAGGCCAGTGACATTTTTAAGATTTAGGTAAAGGAATAAAAGTATTTAAAAACTATTTTTTTTTATAATGGGAGGTTTGTTGTAAAATATGAGCCATATGCAATTGATATAAGGTGACAGCTAGGGATAGAACATTTATATATAAACCTTTGAAATATCTTTATAGCTCATGTTTTTGCTATCAGAAATCTAGCTACTCTTATTGTGCTAATAAAATCTATCAGTATATTTATACCTATTTGACATTATTCCCCTGAGAATACTAGAAGAGCCTGTGAGATAATTCAAAATTTGTTAGATGTCTATAGAAAATCAAGCTGAAACAAGTTTAAATCAAGCTGCTGTAAAACTCATACAACCGATGCTAGTAGCATCATAACTTTCAATTCTGCTTATTCCACTGCTTAAGAGTTTTATTTTGAAAAATAGATTTACTATAGTGTCAGATCATAGAACAGAGAAATGACAGAAAAAGGAAGCATGAATAGTGATTTTGGAATACTAGTTAGAAGACACTTGATCCTGACTTTAAAGACCAAAATTAAGAGCAAGGGTGACTGGAGAAAAAACCCCCTTAGAATTAGATACTAGCATTTTAACTAGTTTCAATTGAATATAATCACTAAAATTTTTGGGATTTTTTCTGATCACTCTAACACTTACAGTGATTATATACTATATCCCACACAGGTCTTGTACTACAAACATATCGTAATTTCATATAACATGGACAAAAAAATTAGTTGTTGCCAACCCAGAAGCATAACTATTCAGCATTCTGATTCTGCAAAGGAAGAACTGCAGGTGCTAAAAACTGCATAATTATTTGCAGTAGTCATTAGGCAGTTAAATAGTCTGAAGAATATATGGAATTAAAATTCATTATTTTAAGTGAAGCATAGCAATACAGATACCCTTTATTACCAGTATTTTTTTTCTGAATGTCAAAGATAGATGTTGAAAGACTTCAAATAATTGCAGTTACAGTTCATCCTTCCCAATTGTTTCCCTACTTTTTAGTGATGATATTAAACAAAGCATTATTGCAAAAAGTAAGACATTTTGACTTTTTTATCACTTGCTTCATTCTCAGCTTGTGACCTTACCATTCTGCTTGTTATTGTATTAGATCTTACATTAGGGAATAAAAGCAGAGAGATGAAACATTGTGAAGGTTGGACAGACTTCATGAAACATGTGTTGCTTTATTCTCTATGAGAAGAAAAAACCCACCAACCAGACCTTAAAAACCAACTTTGTAAAATAAATACAGTAGTGAGTTCTGCCAAGACCATAGGTTAAGCCTCTGAACAGGCATTAATTATCTATAAAAAGGATCAAACTATAATTATTCTAGTTTTGTCATATATTCTTTATTTCCATTATAATCACAATTAATGAAGTGTATTGTCTGTTTACCAGTAGAATTGGAATATGAGCTAAAGAAAAGTATACTGACTTAAGCATTCATTTTTAATACATTTTAAGATATATAAATGTAAGTTAGAAATAAAAGGAGATAATTCTCATCGCAGTCAGGCATTTTTTGCCCTGATTTTCAGCTTTAACTCCTACTGATATTTGGTTCTGAATTTGAAAGCTTCTCCCTTTTTCTGACTTTTGAGAAATTCTCTGATCAACAGCCACCCACTTTCCTCCAGGTGAAGGAAAGAAGCTAAATAGAAAAAATCCCCAAAACTAATTTAAAACAAATAAACAAACAGAAAACCCACAAAACCACCTAAAGCCCCCCAAAACAAACAAAAAAAAACCAAGGTGAAAACTGTCAGCCAGATGGAACATTTGGATTTCCTGTATACACTCCTTCCCATGAACAATCAACACAGTTGAAGCAGACTAAACATGACTTCCAAAGCAAATGTTAAATGCAATTCCCTCTAGTTAGAATCAATAGAAGTCTTGCACACATATGTTAAAGCTTTCAATGCCCTACTGTCTCCATAAAATACAGTTAAATTTACCTTTTCTACAGTTAAATTTACCTTTTCTCTGTTTATGCAGGAAGAATTTGTTCTTAGTAAGAAATCATGTGAAGAAGAATTTAGTTTCTTAAGTCTTGTGTTGTTACCGTTATCTGCACTTTCATTCTACTTCAGTATATCTGAATTTGAAACAAATACCTGGCTAAGTGGTGGTGTCACTTATAGTGGTGTGTGCTCTACCCTCACTTATTTTGATATGACCTGATCTTGTGAATAGCTAATTTATCTCATTGGGTATGACTGATAACTTCTGTTCCTTGTGAAGCACAGAGAAAGGTAATGGCATTGCAGACATCACAGCATATGCCTCTCAATGCTGTGCATCAGCTGTCATTTGGAATGATCTTCTGAAACAGAAATGAGCTGGCTTAGTATCATACACTGGATGCCATCTGTTGTTCACACCATAAGTATCAACTAGTAAGGTCCAAAATGCATGACTTCTTTTATCATTGCATTTGAAACTGCCATTACCATCTGAAGCCTCCTATGTCCAGTCATGTGAATTGGCAAAAGAATAAACCACATGAGAGAAGGGACAGTGAATGACTGAAGATGCTCAGCTTGTCATGATCAAACCCTGTAAGTGAATTTTTTAAGGAACCTCAATAAAGGTAAATGTCAGGTCAACACAGACCTCAGCTTTCCATGACTGTTCTTCATAGATCTGAGTCCCTTTTATTTTCAGTACTTCAAATGGTTTTGTACATACCCTTTCTTTGAACCATTTCTTCCTTCAACTGGCAGGGGGGGAGAAGATGCATCTGTTGAGCAAACTGCAGTGTCTGTGCTTGAAAGTAGGTGACAAGCAGCTGTTAAGAAGCTGATAAAAAAATTTACTCTGGAAACTCAGCATGAGAGGGACTGAAACTGTATCCCCTCTCCTAATTAAAACTGTGATAAAATGAAAACATGCTTTAAATCACTACAGTACAAACAGGGATATTACCCCCCTCCCCCCCGCCTTTAAACAAACATTTAATACCACTGAGGGGTAGCTAAAATATAAAACCAACTGCAAAGCGGCTCTCAGAATTTTTCCTCTTGGTGACTCTGGCATACACCTGATCCTAGATCCTTGGAGTATTATTACATTTCCTTATAAAATATTTATACATCACAGTACCTTCACCTCTTAAGTCTGTGTAACAGCCTGCCCAGCCTTACAACTAAGTGCAATGGCACAGCCATGATTTTATTCCTTATTTCCAAATGTGTTTGAGCAAAATATATTTTCAAACTTTTTCTCTTATATTTTAAATATCATCATCATAAATAACAATAACTTCTCTAAAGAGAAGTATCCAGGAGGCCAATTGAACATATATGTGCATGGAACTTCTCTAGACCTTTCTGTGCTGTAACTGAAGGGTCTACTTGATGTCAAAGAGTATCTTCTTCTTCTGTGTTATAATTACTAAAGATAGCAATGGATTTTGGAAACACATATGAAGGTAGTGCTTTAGAGAGAAAATAAACACATGATTCCTACATAGTCTAGCTCAGAAAGTGTGTCCTGGTGGCCTAGATGACATAATGCAAACAGAAGACAAGCCTCAGAGCAAGCTCTTCACATAAGTTCTAAAATTCAAATTATGTTCCCTTTTCCCTATTTCTAGGGAGCATATGAGGATTTTTATTGCCTTTTTTCAGCCAAAGCTGTCTGTGTTTGAAAGACAAGTCTCTACTGAAAAGACATGAGTGAGAAGTGTATTTTGAAGAAGAGTTAAAAGAAAGCCAGAATGTAAAAAGGAGAAGATAGTTGCAAGAATAGAACAGGAGACACAGTACGTTGAGAGGACCCTAGTAAAGAGTATGGAGGACGACACAATTAGTTAGACTAAAGGCTTAATATGAGATGATGAACCAGATGAGATAATTGTGAAAGTGTTCAGTAGGGAAGAGGAGCTTGGCTAGGAAGCTAGAGCAAACCAAATCTGGGAAACTGGAGTTGTGGGCTGGTGAGGTAAGCTATCTAGTTACAAGAGAGAGCACAGGAAGTTCTCTCAAAAAACAAATATAGAGGGGACTATACTACAAAACACTGATACAACTGCTGCTTTTGTAGACATGCATACCTCTATATAGACATTATATTTAGCTAGTAACTACAACAGCAGGGGTTTAACCACTCAGCATTCCTATCTAGGAGGCACTAGGCTATTAATCTAATTTAAGACAGTTTAGGTAACCTGAGGTTTGTTTAGACACTGTGCTAACACCGGCTAGAGTCATACAACTACCTTGTATTACCAGCATGTAATAAATCGTGTGGTTTTGAATGATTCATCACCCACAACCAAAGGTGCGACCGGTACTAAAGGCAAACCCTCATTAATTTCAGAAACAGTGTTTTCACTTATGGGACTTAAGAACCTCAGTTTGCTGTGTTTAGGCCACACTAAAGAAAATATGATAAAAATAGTATTTTGATTTATGAAAGAGTATGATAATTTCAGAAATAATATGTACATCCTTCATAGGTAATTTAACATCTTGAGGAGAAAGACAGTACAGAATAATAAATGTATACAGGCTCTATGAGGACAGTAATTTTTTTTTTACCTAATTTTATCTTAGAATTCATTCTTCTTTCCTCATGAAATGTGCATCTGTTGTGTAGTATTGCTGTAAATTTATTACATTATCTACTACAGAGCCTCTTGAGATTACTTCATTTTTATTCCAGGTTTCATCCGTATATAGTTGGTATCAAAATATTCTGTAGTCTTATTGAATGAAAGGTGCTTTATAAAGGCAAGATATCTGTAAGGCGTATTTAATTTTGCATTATCTCCAGTGATAGAACGTTTTTCATGTCATTGTGTTTGGCAGAACCACTATAGCCCTTTGGGAGTCTTTTTTTATTTCTTAGGAGTGTATTAATATTAATACTGAGAGTATTGAAGACTAACACCTATATGTATGTGTATATATATGCTTTTGCACAGGTAACAAGTTCTGGGTTTTCAAGGACACTACTCTCCAGCCAGGTTATCCTCATGATTTGGTAACACTTGGAAGCGGAATTCCTTCCCATGGCATTGATTCAGCAATTTGGTGGGAAGATGTTGGGAAAACCTACTTCTTCAAAGGAGATAGGTTGGTATAGGAATTCTGCAAGGAACAATTTGGTAGATATCAGCTAAGCATGTTAATCTTTTCCTCTATTTCTATTCTATTAAGAAGAAGTCAGGCCACTTAAACAGTTCATTTTCCATGGATGAAATTAACTCCTTCTTCACAGAGGGTCATACTGTTTTCACATTTCTTATAAACTAAATTATGTTTATGTGAATATACTGAAACTTGTATATGTATGTCCAGTGGAAAAGTTATGTTTTAGACTTCAGCAGGCAAGTCACAACTGCGACAAATTTAAACATATATATTGAAAATAAAGTAGTTTTGTATACTTTTACTTGCTCCTTTTTATCTACATTTCTAAACCCTAACACATAAACAGGCAAGGCATGATCCAAAGCTTTTTAAGGTCAGTGAAAATGACTTCTCTGCTACTATATAAAAATGAGGCAAGAAAGGGAAATGACAACTAAACCAGGCAGCTAGAGGACAATTTGAACAATTGCCTAGGAATTATTTTAAAATAAATCTTACAGTTCCCTTCAGAAGAGTCACTTGTTTTTATGATTAATAAAGAACAGAAAAAAAAAAAAGAAATAAAATCTGAGTTATTTTCCAGACCTGAAAGAGACTTTCAGTAGTTACTTAGTGTCTCTGTCTTCATTTCCTTGTTTGTAAAAATAAGGGAAAGAATATTTGTCTGCCTTATAGACATGTCAAGAGAACTCAATAATTTTTGAAACCCTGCAAGTTATCTGAATGATGGATTTTACGGGTTTTCATTATGTCACTGTGTTGATTGATGTATCACCATGCAAATTCTGAGTGCTCAAAGACAAGTTGTATTTTGTTAATATTTGTAATGTTTGTATTAGTATTATTAAAAAGTATGATGACTGCTTTTGTTACTGTGTGGTGCTTAGGATCTGAGATGCTAATAGTATTCATGGATCATTTAAGAAATTAATTTAATGCACATCATGGAACATGTCTAGCACACTACAGCTGATAATTTTTAGCAGTACTGTAGTATTGCACTACAGATTGCCACTCACAAGTTTATTGTTAAAGCTTTTCTAAAAAAAATCTCCAACATTCATGATGAGGAAAAGAGATAACTCAGTAAAATTTTTGTGATGTTTGAAATAATTTCAAGCAATCAGCTTTCACAGTAGAGAAGAAAGCCACCTAACTAATTTGCTTCCCATGGTTGAGTAGATTGTTTTTTTTTAATTTAAGTTTATTTTCAGGCAATAATTTTCCACCTCCACATTTCTGGGAAAATATATACAGTAGGAATCTTGTGTGACCTGTATTTCCTTTAGGTTTTATTCAGCAGTGTCCTTTTATATTTCCATGCACAGTTACTTATGGACAAGACTTTCCTAAAACACTGATGGTAATAACAGAAGAAAAAAAGAGCTATCAGAGTAAACATCTGTTAATGGAGAAGTTGCTACTTAGAGCTAACAAGCACAATGAAACTCAGCAGGATGTAAATGCAATACCGTATGTCAAAGAAGATCGAACATGAGCCTTTCAGAGATAATTGAGCTAATAAAGGATACTGACCACCAATGGGAATAAACCCATAAACCACTAAACTTCTGTATTGTTTATATCACAATTTTTTTTAACTTTAAATTTAGAGTTGAATTCTCTTGCTGTTTTAGTAGTATGTATACATCTATTATAGGGGTGGATCTTTCCCTGAAGAAGGTATAACAGAAATGTAGCTTCTCAGTGACAGGAGGTAGGAATGAAAGGGAACCAAAAAACACCAGCGTCAAATAACAAAGTATGTTCCTTATGTAAGTCAAGAACCGGTATACTTTCTTTGTTTTGACAGTAACCTGTAGTTAAGGAGCTCCAGGGTGGAATCTAGACAGAGTTGAATGTCCCAGTGTCCTAGAACAATGGTATACATAAATAAAGTTAGAGCAATAGAATACAAAGCAACGAATATTGGCTGTAAAATGGGAAAAAAAAAACCCAAACCAAAAAAAAAACCACTCCCCTAAAACCACCCAAAAACAGTAACAAGATTTAAAAGTCCAAATAGTAAAATGGTATTGTAATACTCATATATCTAAAGCAACTCATGTGTGGGTCATTATTATTAATATTTAAACTTATCAATTTAAACACTAAAGATAATTCTTCCATATAATTATGTGAAAGATAAAAAGAGGACAAAAGTTGACTACAGAAAACATTTTACCCTCTCATTCCTCTCCTGCTGGAATTGAGTAGTGATGATGATAACAGGTTTCCTGCATTTCTTGACACATGCTCTTGTTTATGCCTTTGTCTGATGTGACTGGCTTTTGTACTAAAGTTTAAATTAATATTCTTTTCTCCTTAGTCATCCAATAGTTCAGAATTCATTAAGTAAATAAGATTAGATATGGGAAAGACTATATTTTAGCAAATATTTTCAAATTCCCTTTTTCTAAAGCCACGAAGTGCACTTTCATTTATTTTCTCTCTATTACTTTATCAGTCTTTGAGATACAGTAACACAATTTATATAGTCTGTAAAGCTCATATCAGTCAAAGCTTCATGGGAGAGACTGCTTGTGAACATTTGGAGTGGCAAGGAGAATCAGGACTAGGCTTTTACTTACCCTGTAGACATGCTCATTATTCCAGCATGCAGATAGTATCGTGATGAGTCCTTTCCTCACATCAATGCTGAAAAAACAGCAGTGCTGCGACTTCTGAGTATGTGCTGGGAGTGTCCTCAAAGACTTCTTTTTTTAATAACAAGGTATATTTTTGAAAGCCCTGTAAGGCTATCTATTTCCATCATTCAGTCTAGTGGAAAAACACAGAGATCAGTAAAAGAAGGAACTCAAAAAGGTGAAAAGATTGGAAGAGAAAAAAAGAAAAATTAGTGGAAGTATGCTGGAAGGAAATAGGGTTCTTGGAAAGAAGGATAGAGAAAAAGGTAACTTAGTTGGTGAAGAAGAAATGCAGATAAAAATGGAGATTAGAAAATAGAATATTAAGCTCAGCAAAGAGTGAGAATAAAGAAACAGAAAGAGAGAACAGGCAAAGGTGAAAAGAGAAAATGCAAACTAAAGATGAACAAAGAGTCAAAAGATGAGCATGAACTGATTGCAATAATAGTAGAGCTTTGTGTACTACATTTACATGTTGTTTCTTTCTCCATTTAAACTCTAGAAGATGTTGCATTTCAAAATAAAGATGATTGCGTTGTTGGCTGGTTACTGATGCATATGTGACTAGATTAAGAAATCAGGCTATAAAATAATTTATGCATGAGAAAGAAAAAAATAAACACAAATGGTTTTTAATGTATCTTACCAACTCTTAACCCACTTGAAATCTGCCACCTTTTAATTTCGTTGAAAGTTTAAATCCAGAGAAATGCCCCACAGGGAGAAATACAGAGGAGTTTAGATAATTTGGTTTTTTGAAAAGGATTAAGATGTGAATTGATTAGTGTCTAAGTACCTTTGCAGAGACAAAATATTATCCACTTAAGGACTTTTTAATATATCAGGAATGATCATAACAAGGATTTCTAAAAGCTGAAGTCAAATGAATTCAAATTATAAAAAGTGTCAAGTTTTTAGCAGTGACCAGATTATCGAATAAAGTGGTATATTCACAGGCTTTTGATGTCCTGAAACGGTGAATGGCTGCCTTTTTATGTAATTTTTCACATGAATAAAACTGATTTTGAAAAAAAAATTCTCCAAGAAAACCATGCTCTAAATTGGTATGCTCTAAATTAATGGATCCAATCAAGATATGAAGTGACCCACTCAAATATCAGGATAGACAGAGACACTGGAGATAAAGTATGTTAATTCTTAGAACCAGCTTATAATAAGATATGCATAGCAATTTAATCAGCTGCATAAGGACAAAGAAGTTATCAACATTATCTGTAAAAGTAAATAAAATCACAAGTGTAAATGCTTCTTACATGTTCAGGTTGCCTAGAATTTGCATGCTAAAGCTTTTTAAATTGAAGAAGGACTGACTGGCAAAAAAAAGGCACAAAAGCAGAATTTTGTATTACACGGTATCTACTGAATGATAAAAATGAAAAGGTACTGTAATGCATAAATATAAGGAGTTAAATTAAAATTTCTGGTAGAATGTTAATCTGAATCCACTGTCATTTTTGTGATGAAAATTTTATCTAAAATTAATGTATCTTTTTTGCATATGTTGCATCTCTCTGTGCCACTATGCTGAAGTCTTAGGCATCAGAGTTGCTGCGATTATAAGTGAGAAGCATGCTGATTTACTTATAAAAGTGCAAAAATGTTTTATCTTCTTTCTGCTTACATGAAGCAATTGTCCAGTCAGCAAATAGATTTCTTTGTAATCTGGTAGTATGTTCAAATAAAAGGACTCAAGTATTCCCATTTGTGGCTAATGAGTGTAGCAAATGTTTGAAAGAAAAAAGTATGTAGTTAATAATCTACTATCTTACAAATGCTTTTTTTTTTTTACTTTAAAAACATTTCAGGTACTGGAGGTACAGTGAAGAAATGAGATCCATGGACCCTGGTTATCCCAAACCAATCACAATTTGGAAAGGTATCCCAGAATCTCCTCAGGGAGCCTTTGTCCACAGAGAAAATGGTATGGAAACATATTCCTGGTTTAATGATTTACTAATACCCCTTATGTAAGATAGAGTAGTAAAGGAGTGATTGACTATTCAGGTTAAGTAGCAAAGGAATTCTTGATTTATGAACAGAATACAGAATCACAGAATGACAGGGGTTATAAGGGACCTCAAAGATCATCCAGTCCAACCCCCCTGCCAGAGCAGGATCACCTAGACTAGGTCACACAGGAACACGTCCAGGCGGGTTTTGAATGTCTCCAGAGAAGGAGACTCTGCAACCTCTCTGGGCAGCCTGTTCCAGTGCTCTGGTACCCTCACAGTAAAGTTTTTCCTTATGTTTAAGTGGAACTTCCTGTGTACTGGTTTGCCACTTGTCCTGTCATTGGTCACAACCAAGTCTGCACCCATCCTCCTGACATCCGCCCTTTAGATATCCATAAGCATTAATGACATCCCCCCTCAGTCTCCTCCAATTCAAACAGATCCAGCTCTCTCAGCCTTTCCTCATGTGGGAGATGCCAAAGGCCCCTCATCATCTTAGTGGCTCTAATTTTCTGCTATAGAACTTACTGTTTTGAAAATGGCTGTTTGTTTGCATGTACCATTTAACACAATGGAGAAAATGTATTTCAACTTTATTATCATAAACCTTAATGTCCCTTCTTTTTTTTTCTTGGGTCTTAATTTGCTTAATTATTTTTGTTCTCTGCTGAATTATAGTACCTCTTAAAACAAGCTTCCTAAACACAGTATATCTCTGATTTGTCAAGGTGTTGGCTGTTTAAACAGCTTAGAAGGTATTAATTTCAGTCTGAACAACTAGAAAAGGGAAGCAAAATTTTTATCTAAGCAGAAATTTCCCTAGGAATCTATATAAATGAAAGATGTCATAAGCCCATGATGCAGAAATGCAGATTCTAGGGATATTAGTATGAAGTGCTATTACCTGGATCAAGATGCATCATCACATACAGGAACCTAGAATGGCCTGGCCACACTTCCAAGTGAATGAGAGCAGCCAAACTCTCCTTCATCTTATGAGAATTCAGTGTTACCCAGGGGCTGCAGGGAGGCTGCCAACAGGGCCCTCAGTTGCACAGAGTTTAGTCCCCTGTAACAGGAATGAAAATATGCATTTGTCATCACTTATCATAGTTAGAGAATTATTGTATGGCATTTATGATTTATTTATTAGTGGGTTTTGAGTTTATTCTGTTTGCCTTACAGACAGCACATGTATATATTGTCGTATTATTTTAATTTCCTTTTAATAAGCAGATAAAAATATTTCTTTCCTTTTATAAACCATTTCAGTCTCCTTTTTCAACCTCTAAATTGATTAAATAATTTACCATGGAAATGTGTGGGGTTTTGTTTTAGAAATATGTTTAATTGCATCCTTGCTTTGTCTTTGTTTTATCCAGAAACAGAAACCCTCTCTGGATTCTGGCCTTTTGGCTAGACTGGATTTTTTTTTGTGTTGCTTTTACTTGTTTTGCTCTTTTTTTAACTGGAATGTAGGTCAACCAAGATGATAATCCTGCATACATTACACTCAGTAACTGTAAATACGCATATATGTGGAAGTTGGCACAAACATTATGCATGCACAGACAAACATAATGGATATAACCTCTGCTTTCACAGAATCACAGAATCATTAGGAGTTGGAAAGAACCTTGAAAGATCATCTAGTCCAACACCCCTGCCAGAGCAGGAACTGGATGATTTCTTCCCTTCATTTCTTTTTTAAGCATATATTTAAATATTGACAGCCAAAAGGAATTTAACACACACGCACATACATATATATATACATATATATGTATTTTAATGTATCCATGTATGTATGGGTTTGGGTTTTTTTCTTACCTTGTTTGCATTCACCATAATAAGTTTTATGTAGTGAGCTCAAGTACATGCGTCTCTCATTACAAATGAAAATTAACGTACTGTAACACTCAGACCAGTGGAACTGAAAATACTGTAGAGGCAGAGCACTCATTCCTAAGGCAGAAAAAACTTTTGGTTACATCAAAGCCACTTCTCATTTTACCCCAGTGGCTTTGATAGTCTGTCTGACTCTTTGAATGAGGAGAGTGGTAAAACATCACATGAGATTGTGGAAGAGAGAAAGTGAAGGAGGGCATGCTTGGGCTTCTCAGAAAGCCTAAAAAGGTCCCAAGACAGAAAGAGAGACTGAAAATGACACCATAAATTTCCCAAGAAGACCACTAAGACATTTTCCCTGAAATCAAGAAAACTGACATCTTAAGAAACGGTTCACAGCTCTGCTGCTGTTTGTATGAGGAGAGAAGGAAACAAAACCAGATGCAAGTAAGAAGTACCACAGAATAGTTGGAAAGATGTTGATTACAGTTTGCCTGAAACTGTTTTCCCTTCTTTGGGCAGAAGCAGAGTTGACAAGGAAGTTTTACTATATAGCTTTGTAATGGGACATCTGAAAGCATGTCTTCCAGTTAATTCATTTCATTTTGAAGAATATTTTTTCTTTCCCTTGTCTTTCTATTGTGTAAACCACGTAAATGAACACCTGCATCCAATCATAACGAGGTTTCCTTCGCTGTCCAAAAAAAAAATGGGGTAATCTTGCAGTAAGAAGCTTGGGTAAGATGAGAAAAAATAATTTCCTACTCTAGTCAGCATCCTGACTCACTGTCCTAGAAGTTTGGTAAGGTACAGGTAACATCTTTGAAACCTTCCATGCACTTTCCATGTTGTGTTTTGGTTTCTAATGCTATGGTAGGAAATCTTAGGAGGAGGTGGAGAAGAATTTTCCTTTCTGTTGCTCCATGGAATCTGAGATCTCACAGAGTTCTCCAGCTTGGAGAAATCTTTCTTTCTGACTTGAGAGCAGCACAGAAAGTCTCACCTCCTGGCCAGAATTCTGCTGAAGTGGATGATGGGGCGATTTTTAGAGAGAAGAAAGAGAAAAGGTAGTCTCCTTCATTAGCCCTTTGAGCTTTTTTTGCCTTGCACTTACTAGCACTACTAATTTGAGTTTCTATTTGACACATTAGTGACTGCTAAGTCCTTCCACACTGCTTGAGTCAGGCATTGCACTCACTACTCTCAGCAATTAGCACTTGGAAAGGTATAAGGAGAAGCTCTCAAAGCAGGCTCAACAAGTCAAGCAGATTCTATGAAATAACTTTCAACAGTTGTATAAAGTCACTTGTTCTGCCATGAGAGCAGTAACACTACTCAGTCTCTGCTGGTAACTTCCATCCTACAGCTGTTCCTGACTGGTACCCTTGTTCCTGCCTCAGAAAAATGACAGAAGAGTTTAAACTACCCTCAGAGTTTTCCAGTGGAAAATACACTCTAATAGAATAATGTTTACTGGATCTATAGGGGCTGGTGATTCCTTTGCTGCTTTGACTGTAAAAATATTAATTTGATATTTCATTGTATAATAACAATTAAAATTGTATAATAACAATTAATGCTAACTGATGTAAGTATTCTGACTTATAAGTACCCCTGATGTATACATATATGTATTCTATATATATGTAATAATACAGATTTAGAGACATTCTAAATATTCTGAAAAATGACAGTAGATTATGAAGATTTTTTTACAGAGCTGCAGAATATACTATTGAGTCATTTTTTTAGAATTGAAAGAAACTAACTGCTGTTGGAATAGATGATTAATAATATCGCCAGATAGTCAGCTGCCAGTCTTTTTAGGAAGCATTGTTAAAGTGACAAATAATGCCCAATCTGTCTTAGAATTCTTAGTAGCCTTTAGTACTGCAAGAAATAAGCCAAGGTCTATAAAGTGAAGATAAAAAAAATCCAGCTATTTACATTCAGTTCATAAACAGTAGGAGGATGTTCACCCAGCCTGAAGGTTTCTTTCTTGCCAGATGAATGCTATTTTTCAGCTGGGATAATAAAGTAGTGGAGATTTTTTGGCAAGGGGTCAAGTTGGTTTGAGTTGGGTTGGGTTGGATTTTTTTGTTCGTTTTGGTTTGGTTTTTTGTTTGGGTTTTTTTTTTTGTTTGAATGTTTGTTGGGTTTTTTGTTTTCCATTTAAGCATGTTTATTAAGAACATTGGATTGTGCCTGAGTGAGGAAACACCATGTATTTGTAGAAAACTTAAATCTGGTTACAACTGTTTTCTCTTGGCAAAGCTGCTGTTATTTCATCCAGGTTCCTTCTTCTGAAGTACAGCAGTAGGCTATGTGACATTAAAGAGGGTCAGTATTCATTTCTGGCTGGTGTAGCATTGCAATTTGTATCAGTAGACCTCCCATCTTGTAGAGGTTATAATGCTTTAAAGTACAGGCCCTGAGGATTCCAACTCTGGTTGAGTTTTCCGTGAATGCACAAATCAGCTGGGCCCTGGTCTGTCAAAGATCATGTTCTCTAAAATTTCTGGTTTTCTTGTAGTAATGGAAGAATTATTGAATTTTTAAAAAAGTAAAAAATCCCCGATGTCAGATTTTCTACAGACAGTAAAGAAATTTGTAAACAAGATTTGAAAGACCTATAACTTATGTCTATTCCTTACACCTTTTAAAGGTTTTAATTACAAAATAATTTGATACCAGTAATTTTGATCCCAATGTGTTGATGACATGATTTGATCTGATATGATGATTAATAACTGCAATTTTCTTCCTCAGGCTTCACATATTTCTACAAAGGAAAAGAGTACTGGAAATTCAATAACCAGATGCTCAGGGTGGAACCTGGCTATCCCAGATCCATCCTCAAGGATTTTATGGGTTGTGATGGACCAACAGATCGAGACAAGGACCGACACAGCCCTCAAGATGATGTTGACATTGTCATCAAACTGGACAACACAGCCAGCACTGTGAAAGCCATAGCCATCGTCATTCCCTGCATCCTGGCCTTGTGCCTCCTTGTCTTGGTTTACACTGTGTTCCAGTTCAAAAGGAAAGGAACACCCCGCCACATACTGTACTGCAAACGGTCTATGCAAGAGTGGGTGTGATGTAGAGTTTTGTTTTTTTTTCTTTCCCTCACAGGAGTTTGTGGTAACTTGAGGTTCAACACAAGAGCTGTTATGCAGTTTCCTAGCTAGGAGCGGGCATCTGTCAGTCTGAAACAAAGCTGATCTTTAATACCCAGGGGGTTGCCTGTCCTGTGCATGAGTGGCGATTCGCTCAGCTGGGAAGCTTCCATGATACACGGTATCTACTGTTTCTTCAGTCCTTTGTCTTTCTTTGTCATTCGATTCTAGGCCTTTCCTCTGCACGCTCAATACCCTATGAACTATCAGGATTAACTAATGAAGAGGAAAAAAAACAAAATCTCCAGTGTTTCTACATTTTTCCCTTAAGGCCTGTTCCCCTTTGAAAATTTTTTTGCTGAAAGTAATTTTTTTTAGAAAAACACAACAACCCACAACAGAACTTTCAGGAAAGTGAGAAGACCCAAAACAGCTTTGTCTCCAAAGAGGATTGCTTTCTGTCTGCTATGGATAAAGTCCTATACACTCCTACTTCCAGTTTTGTCAGGTGGGAGACTCGGATGACACACAGGACTTCAGACTGTTCGGACAGCCATTTTCCAACAAACAAGGGGCCAAAATATCTGCAATATAGTAACAGCCTTAATACTACATTCATTTTGTGTTTTTTACAGCTGCTCTGGGCTACGTCCTCAATGTTTTAAACACATTTATATTCATTACTATATTCAAGCAGAACCTTTTTATCAGTTTGTTTGATTTTTGGTTGGTTTTCCTGCATAATCTTTCCCAAGCTGTACCAAGCCAACTGCCCCAGGCCTTTTACAGGTCTGTCAGGAGCACTCATTCCAGAGCATGGTAAAAAGCAGTGTGTGTCTCTGAAGTGGAATTCAATGAACTAAAGCAACAGTCATGCTATAGAGAAACTTGATGCTGGTATTACATTGGTGGTGTAACCCTTTGAGAACTATTGCATCCTTTGTCAGAGTCTGGTGGATGTTAATTTTAGTTGTCATTAAATTACAGGATTGTGTTTGGGTAGTACAAATTTTAAAAGTAAATCAGTTTTTTCAAAACAGGTTTCCTGTAACTGCAAGTGAGTGTTTTTAATTATTTGCCTTATTGATAGAAAAGCATTTGTAACGTAAATAGAAAACAAAATATGTTTACCAGCTACCTTCTGGTTAAAAGAACCAAATCTATTTTAATAACTTCTACCACTTAACAAGAAATTTTCTGAACTGGCGACAGTTTTGTAACTCAGCCTTTTCTCTTAAGCATCTTGAATTTATCTTTTAAACTATGTTGCATGATAATTCAGTTTGCCTCTGCAGAGGTAGGGTTACAGTTTCAAAGGAAAGTAAAAATTATGACTCTGATATTGCATGAGTATTCTCCAGTGTGTTACCCCTATGCATGTTCATCATAGTTCTCAAAGGGTTAGTCAAATTTCTGGCCTTCAGCCAAACATGGTATCACTGACAGAGTCAAGGCACCACCAAAGCATTTTGTCATTCTGTGTAATTTGTGCTAACAGCAGTATTGTCATTTTCATGTGACCTGCAGAGCAGGTTTGTATCAATATTTTTTTCCTAGAGAAAAGTCAGCAACTGACAGACCTCTTTATTGATTTTAGGAGCTGCTTCTTGCAGTGATAGGCTTTACAGTCACTGGGCTGTGAACTTATTAAAGATGGTCAGAATGATGCACCCCAAAAGTCAGACACCTGGTTTTTTATGAAAGCCAGGATTTGAGGGGCATAGCTTTTGCAACAATGAACAGCTTGCCTTGAACTTGATTATTGACCTGTTGACTGTCATTTCCAAGTTACGTATTGTCTTCTGTGATCAGCTTCACTGTCTGAATTTCCATAAAGTGTACTGTCCTGTCTTTGATCTTTGACCTTTAACTTGCAAACTGGCACAAACTGAAGGGAATATGATGTTGCGAATGAACTAAGACAAGTTTTATTTCTTAAAAGGCCTGATACACATTATCCAAAATTCGAGAAGAAAATGTTGAGATGTTTTCATAAGAAAGAACTGACATAAACTAAAATATTTATGATAGATCTGTAGAAGGGTATTTTGCTATGTATACATGCACACTCTAAAATGAGCTACAGTAGAAGTTAATTTTTATTTAACTTGAATACAATTTTCAGTATAAAATTATCATTTCTACAAATAGGTAATTATTAATGAAAAGGTTATAGAGAAGTATTAAAATACTTGAAATGGCCAATATTGGCTTTTACATAAAATGAGACTTTTATACTACATTCAACCAATTTCTTACTGGTTTCTTAATCCACATAACTGGATCACTTTTTAGAGAGTGTAGGTATATATATATACATATATATATATATATAT